AACTCGAATTACTAACTTTTACAGTACTCAAAGATTTCTCGTGCATATATAATTGTTACAAATAAAGTGTTAGTGCTTTTTGATAATCAGTAATGTAATCATAAAAAATACATTTTGAATTACATTTGACAATCCCATCTTATTTTTCATTACTTGTGTTAGGTACGAAAAACATTATCCTCAGTTCTGACTTCTTTTTGTCTCACTTGGATAACCTTAGATGTTTTCAACTGTTTCAAATCGTCGTTAAGTACTAGAATATCACTTATCCTGAAACCACTGAATTAAAGTTATATCTGATGATTAATTGAGATGTAACGGCATGTGTAAGTATAACTTAAAAATGAAGGTAGATAACACTCTCGTTCATAGATTCATGGAGGCTGTCCACAATCCCCTATGGGTTTAAAGAACTGGTTGGAACCTAGAGTATGGTGATGTCAAGATTAACGTTCTCATTGAATGTATCTCGGATGAAGTGAAATATATATACTGATATTTTTCTGTTTAGTATAGAACCCGACCTAAAACCATCGTATAATCTACATAGTTTTTATTATTTTATTTGAACACATAGATATTGGTACAAGGAAGCACCAAATACATACTCGCCACACAAATCTCATTTGATATGCGTGAGGGTTGTGATACTGCCTGGGTGCCCAAACCGAAGCAGGTGGTTTCCTTAGGAGGCCACACCTGGAGCCTTCGACCTAAAGGTCTGATCCACAAGGCGGTGGAGCATCGTATGGCGATGCAGTCCCATGGTAGCCGGTGACCAACGACTGGTTTATACGCCGTTTGTTCACTTAGGATACTGGAGCCCACGTGCACCGTTGGTTTGGAATCAGGGTTTTCCGACTCTCCTAGGTGGATTCTCTGTGCCCACCAACCGGGTTAAAGCGCCGGACATTAGCTTTTCGTCCTGTCAATTTCGTAAACAACACCCGTCCACTAGAAGGCAGTGAGTAGGACTTCCCTGGCAGAGGCTATATACGCGTAGCCATATGAGAGCATTTCCAGAGGGTGAGCGGACTCTCTCTACTCTCAGCTGTACCAGGGAATTTGGGGGCATAACAGAACGTTACTGCATTTAATCATTTATCAGTAAATTCAAGTTATTGAGTTATGTCCTTACTATGGAAACTTAAGGTATATTGAAAGCCTAGTGATTCTTAGCTATTTTAAAATGCTGTGAATCATAGGGCAGTCCAGAAACGTTTATAAATCAAGCTTATTATTAGTTTAAAGTTAAACTGTTTACTCGTTTGACCTTGAGCGACACTTCAGTTGAATTTGAAATCCAGCGGTATATCAACGTTTATGTACACAAATCTCTTGAAAAAAATACTAATTATTTCAATTGGTATTTGTTCCATTTTTATGGGACGAAACTATTTGTTGAACCTGTCATATTCACACTAATAGCGGTAGTTTCCAGTTTCATAACCATGTCGTAGTTAAAACTCAAAGGAAAACAATCACACTTAATGATTGTACAGAGAAAAACAATTGAAGAAGTGATCAGGACAAATTGTTGTAATCGGGTGGCTCGCCTCTCCATCTAAGTTATTTTCATATGAACAGGATGTCAATAATTCATAAACTTCGATCGATATTTGACCCCATTACAAACTTAGTTTTTTTTTCTAAAGATTATTATACTCTGCTATTTTAGAATGTTTTGGTGTGAACGACTGGTCATGAAAGCTCGTAATTGGTTTACAAGAACAGTGAAACTAGAACCAGATCTTGGCGACGCATGGGCTTACTTTTACAAATTTGAATTACAACATGGGACGGAAGTAAGTTCGAAAATTATTTCTATATTTTACTAATACTGTCTTATGATTGCAATTACATAAACAATAAACTTGATTAAGTGCTTAGTAATTGAAATACTCAGCTTTAAGAATGAAGTCTTAGGTTAAAATCCTACATCGTCTTCCTCCTGATAGTATCGCCATACCTCACGTAAAAGGTATAACTCAAAGCTGAGTAGATAAATTTGGACTATGTTAGAGTTACACTACATTTAATTAGTTTGGATTTTGTGTTTACAAACAGATTAGCACTAATCATGTCAACTCGTGTATTTGTCGCAAAATATCAAAACGTCTGATAAGCTTAAAGGCTAATTATACACCGACGCATTAATTTTTTCTGTTAATCAACATCATAAGTTCAGCCAGGACGCAAAGCACAGCTTATGGTATATGATATGATTATGTACATAATTAATGTTCTATAGTTGATAAAGTATTAATAACTTCGGCATTTTATCTTAATTTCATTTTGTTTAGGATCAACAGAAAGAAGTATATCGACGTTGTGTTACTGCAGAACCTCATCATGGTGAGGTATGGTGCCAAATCAGTAAAGATCCTAAGAACTGGCGATTAAAAACAAAAGATTTATTAAAAATTGCAGCAGAAACAATTGTTTTACCAAGTTGAATTTGTGTGCTTCGATTCTGTATTTGTATAATTCTTGCAAACGGACAAAATCTGCAGCGTATGTTGTGTATCGTAAAAGTCAGTAATTACTATCAGCCAACTTTCGGCATTCATTATACGTAAACGACAACTCATTTTTCGTTTTAGACATCATGTTTGGTTTAATAAAAAGCTAAAGATTTATTTAATTTCTTCTACTTAATCGAACATACACAGCTTTATATATGTTTTCAGCGATGCTGGTCAGAAATGCATTGGAGGCAGTTTCTTCACTCCACTTGTTTTACTTCCCAGACCATATTTAGAATTAAATGTTCGATTTCTGTGTAAAGAGAAATTAATTGTCAATGGTTAATTAGATATGTTTTAAAACATTACAAAATCACACAATATATTCTTAACTGTGTGCCGTGTGTTCTGTAAATATTAGCAAAGTAACTTGTAATCATGCATATATATGTCTAGGTAGTTAAGATACTTGACTCCTACTCACTGTTTTGCACATTCTAGTACTTTACATAGTCTTTGATTGAATGACAAAATGGCAGTATTATAATTGTAAGCACAGTTCCGGTTTGCCAATATATAATGTTTGCCTCTCGGATATAGTTCTATTTAACCGAACTGAGTTGTTCTTTAACTGAAAGCTGGATATGATTTAGTGGTAAACGTAATTAAAGCAACTCCTGAATATATCCATAATAATTGGGACAACTTTGCTGTTTTTTTCCTTGCAAAATTCAGACTAAAAGTTGAATAGTGTATAGTTTCTATTATACCGTTTCACTGTTTTGCCTGTGGCTGCAATTTTATTCTATATGGCGGTTAACAGCTACACATATAGTCCTACCTAGTCGGTGAGAGTTGACCGCATCGTATATTTATTTAAATTTCTTAATGAGCATTCCAAATTATCTGGTGTCCACCAGCTCATCAGGTGTATCTCACTCTAACGATGTCATAAAAGTTACGGTTGTGTAATGAGAGCATATGTTATTGGTACTGCTATATCCGTTGGTTAATGCTGTTTTCATTTATACTTTTGTAAATAAGTGTAACTGTGGAAGTCGTTAGAGCTCTCAATACATACATTGGCTTCACTTTTTACTCTCGTAGGCATTCAATAAAGCAAAATCGTAGTATTTTTCCCTACTTACCGCAGGAATAAAGTAAGTGAAATTGCATTTTTTGTTTGTTTTTAGCTTTCATTTGTTACTTGCATAGATTGTTGACACAGTCAAGTATATCACCACTTAGCAATATTATTTTAGTCGATACCGTATTTCATAATCTCCTTTATTGATGTCGATACTAGTCTTGCGTTTACTACGTTATGGTTTTAGACCTGGAACACCAAGTTTCGGTGAGCTATTTTCTCAGAAATAGACCGACTCTTCGGGTTGATACGTACAGCTACGCAACAGAAGATAAGTATAGGAAATCTCGTAGGTCTTTGCACAATCGTTTATTGACTGAAATCATTGCACTTTATAACAGTGTACAGATATTCAGCAAAATGAAAGAAATAAGTTGGCGAAAACGACACGAGTTAACGTAAGAAATCGGTTACTATGGGTTAAACGCTTCACAATCTATGAGAAGTAAAGAAATGAGTAAATCTGACTTATCTTGAGGAATTTTCAGTTATCTCTTCCAATGTCTCTAAACACTGATCCCTAAATTTTTCACTGTGGGGCTTGGGTCGAGTGTTTTACAGTCATTTATACTTGAGCTTTAAGATTTACCGAAAGTTAAAACACTCAACATGCGTTTCCTACCCACAAAATCTAAGTTAGTGTTGCTGAACTGATGATTTAATATATTTGTTCAGTATTGGTAAACAGACTTTGTATTAATCGTTATGCGTGCTCTATATGGACGTGAAACATCCGGTAGGATCAACGTAACCTTATTACGCAACAATCTGAGGCTCTAGTTCAATCATCCCATGCTTTTGTGGAGTTCGTAATTTATTGATCTTCAATGATATAATACACTTGAGTGTAGTTGTCACTGACAATAGCAACATTGGAAAGGTTAGTATAAAAATAGTCCTCTGCTGTCTTCATTGGTTCTGATATATTTAAAAACCAAATTCACCAACTAATTCTATGTTATAGCCAAAGTTTCCACGTACAACGTTTCAGCTTTGAGTGACACTGTATGGAAAAAATGTTGACGCTTCTTTGTCAGTGATGTTCCAAATTATGTTGCTGAGATTTAGAGAAAACTAGGTTTTTTTAAATTTTGGCTTCCGAATTCCATGAAACCTCGAATTTTCATTAAAAGTCAACATTTCAACACGAGCGTAATACTTTTTAGAAAAACGCACATATAATTTTCTCAAGTGATCTACTTATGTTAAAGCACATTCAGGTTATTGTTGACAAGAAATGTTTTATTCCAGATAAGCTTCTAGTAATATTTTATTCACAAGTATCAGTTCATTGAATAATAAATTCCAAGAATATCATATTTTTACAGAAACAGAAAAAATACCGTGAAATGTATATCACGTCGCCGTAATCTTAGCAAAAACTAAACCTACTGTATCTTCCTCACTAGTTTATCACTTTCATCTTCTTTCTTCTCCACAGGATGCTTACTTACTGGTGCTGGTATATATGTATAGTTTAATTCAATGAGTGCTCGTTTTCGAATTTCTGTAGCCCAGTAATAAGCCTAAAATACGTTAGCAAATCAAACTCTATTGTTGTTATTCATCCGTATTACGGAATTCATAGTAGAAATCAAGTAAATTCAAGTTACCTTTGGAAATTATACCATCATAAGTTTCCTGGAGATGAATTTAAGCGGTTTGTCGAGTTAGGGGTTTCTTATTTGTTTTCATGGGCTCTAATACTTGAAAATTAATATATTTTAATCCTATTTATTTTTATGACTACATATTTTCTACAGTCAGAAAATAGTAGTGTTCGTTTTCTCACAACAATATTGAATTTGTCCTTCGCTGCTTAGTACACCGTTGTTATTCAAAATATTTTTTTAGATCTTGACCCTGTAGTTCACTATCACTAGTTTAATATTTGATAGGAAAATACTTGAAGTATTCGGTGGGTTTGTGAGTGTACTCATTTCATTCCTTGAGTGAGTAATGACGTGGTTATATTTTATCTGAGATTCGAAAAACTTGATAAAACTTTACATGGACGTTTTTTGTTTCTTGACTCTAAAGAAGTATGTCAAACACATAACAACAGCCAGTCACTGAGTTTTAGTACGATTCTATGAAATCACATTGTCTTCTAGGTTATAGATTCTACCCCTCAATTATCTACCACTTCCTTTGTTATCAATTTTACATCATTTCCTTATTGTGATAAAGGTGCTTACATATAAGTTGTGTATTGACTCTATTTTTTTAGTCATCCATACCATGTTAACATTGGCAGGAATGTTTCTGTGTAGAACATTTGGTACACAATCAACAAACATGGTACCCTTTAGTCATCGTTTTGCTATTATTTATCAAGAGTACTTTACAACCTTCAGTCCAGTGACTCAGTATAAGTAAACTGCAGAAAACCAGACTCTAATTGTTCATTTCAAGGTCACTCAAATTACTCTCAAGTGGTAGCAGAAGTTTGTAGCATTGCGGGTTGCTGTTATTCAGTGATTAATATAAGTCGAACATAAATCACTCTATTTTATAAAATAAATAGAAGGTATATCTTGGTGCTAATGGCAGTCTGTAATGAGACTCAGTAGGCTTCATCTAGTAGTTGTTTTACGACGAGGATTCGTTTCTATACTTTCTAACTCGAAGGTGAAAAAATATATACAACGAGACATATAACTTCTTAAAAATACAGCATCTGCTGATTTCAGAGCTCATGTACAGTAAACACATTTTCCATAAGTCTGGAGTCTGCTATTCAACTTGATGTGGTTGAAACGTATACAAAAACCTCTTCGTTCAGCGATCTTATCTCACCTATGAAATATGTGAGATGTCCATCTCTCAATCAAGTTTCTTTTACAAGAAATTTGTAAGTATGAGCAATAATCATCAGGTTACTTTTGGTTGCCTGTTGTCTTCTGTGACGGTTAAATTTCATACTTCCTGTATGAATGTGGGCGCGTACAGCTAAAACAGTGTTGTTGGACAATTGTGCCAGTTAGAAATCACAGGACATTTATATGACAACCGCTAGAAAAAGATACCATATACGACATACCGTATGGATGGAAGCCTTATGGTAGAGAAACGATAGTGTAGTTTGACAAAAATGATACACTACTTAAATTTGTTACCATGATTAAGTGCTACTTTTCTTCTTAATCAGCAGATCCATGTTTCAGAACTATTTATTTATTTGGAACACGCTTGTGGTGATTAATACAGACATGTATGGTTCACGTAACAGGATACTCAGACCAAGCAAGTGGAAGCTAAATCTATTGTACTGATTACCTTGGGTGATTAATTCTGATAAATCTATGTTTGTTCATCTAGTTCCATTGTTCTGTTGATCTACTTGTTTGAGATGCGTTGACTAATTGACTTTCTGAATAGTTTGAACTCATTTCAGTACAGCGCAGATTAAACCTGTCTAGTACAATCATGAACTCATTTTATTGTAATCCAACTACTATGTATTTTATTACTAGGGTTATTTCCACTTTACTACAATTCCTAGTGATCCTAATCCCAAAATTGATATAAACCCAATACAATTACTGAGACTTCTTATTCTCAAATTAGTCCAGTACTATTTTTACTTCAGTCTATTCTATTTTACCCTACTTTGTTTCTGTTTATTACCATTGTACATGTTAGTTGATTCAACCACTTAAATTTACATTTAGAAACATTGGCATTTAATCTATTTGTCACCGGTCATTGATTCAAAGACAACGAATGATAAATCATTGCAGTGGTTATTAAATTTTGAATTAAAGAAACTATTTAAGCTCTTGACAACCAAGTAAAATCATTATTTTTTAAACTGTTGGAAAAATCCGTCCCTCCTAGTCGAAACAGCATTTTTAGCTACACGTTGGTTACAATGAAACAAAGCCCTAAGTAGGTTTGCATAACTAACCGTGAGTTTATATCATCTTTCTTCCCAATGTTTGGGACCGTCTTATAGCCCAACACAAGCAAATGTCCTTCAAAGTGAATTTTGTTACAGATTCTTCGAAACCAAAAACTATTTTAAAGTTAGTGAAGAAGCAACTCTTCAGTTTCCCTACCTGAAACATACTTTGAGCGACCCTGATCACTGGTTGAGAATCAGTTTGCATGGGTAAGATTACGGTCGTAAATTACTGTTTTGATTTTCCAGTTTACTCTAAAACCAGCACTCAATTCGTTGGATTTCATCAACTGCTGTCTCTTTGAAATTTATGGAAACATAACATCATCCTGACCAATGGAAATAACATTAGTTTACCTCAACTCAGTTTTTATAGCATCCCCCGTAGCAACCTTACGGTCACTTCTTTCCAAATTGCACTTAAAATAAGTAAGAACTATTCGCTCAGATATCTCAAGTCAAACTCATCAAAATCCCTTGATAAGGAAACGGATGAGAAGCAATCGCAAAATGCGAGTGCCTTATTCTTTTTATCGTCATTGAGGGGATAAATATGCCTTTGAACTGAATAAAAGGAAATCGCTAGTGAAGTATTCAGAGACATTTTAATTTGATACTTTTGCACGAGAATACTCACCTTTCCCTCCTGATCGATCCTCGATTCCAGCTCGCGACATAATTTATTTATGTACGTACGATAATCCTCCAGTTCTTGAACCGAATCTTCGTCAAGATCCATGTAGCTAGATAATTTTGAGCCCCTTCTAACAGCACGGTTTACTTTAAAATTTAAGTGACATAGACATAAAAAAATAAGTATACTTGTTCGTTGAAGTGCTTTTGCCTTCGGTATTTGCTGATCGCAAAAAAAGAATGCCCTTTTGTAGTAGTCATTCATCTCTTTCTGAATTAAATATCTCGTCTTCCACTCATTATCTAAACGGATTTGGATTAATCTTCTTAATTACCTTCATCTTCAATTGAAGCCAGCTGGTCCTCTAAAATGTCGATGGATTCTTCTAGTTTGCAGTTTGTCTGCCTGAGAAGATTTCTAAAACGTGACTTTTCATAAACAAATATTACAAGCTTATTTTCTCTTGTTCTATTTGATCTGAAAGCGTTAGTTTGTCCACAGTGTTAATTATTTCGAGGCTCATTTGAACGAATCCTAAAGTTTTCACAGTATAATCGCAACGAATAGTTGTTACTACGTTTGGTTGTAATGTGTAAACACGAGATTTAGGTGTTACTTCACTTAACGAGCACAATAAACTAGAGGAATTAGAGAAAGCTACGATAAAACGACTAAGTAAAAACACATCATCTACTTACAATTTTTAGCTAGAAACACTATAAGATTCACAACTAATATTCAAATTCAAGAATAAAATAAACACAATGTTTATCCTTTCGTAGGTTTGAAACTAGATACAGTGTTGCTGCTTAAATCAACACTCCTGGTTGCTATGATTAGGTTGAACTAAACAAGTGAAGTGTCACGTGGACATGAAAGAACATGGGGATTTCGATGATCGTAGGATTTGTCTCAGTGCAGTTTGTTATGAGGCAGGGAGTCTTTCGATGAGCAACAATAGGACAAACACTGCGACCTACTTGGTACGGATGACATGCCTAATAACTCGCCCTCAGGTTTTGCCGTGAATTTTATATCCAATATCTTCAATGTTAGCTCAAATAAAACGACCGGTTTGTCTGCGCTCTTCTCTTATCATCTCGGTACAGTCCAAGCCTTCGGTAAAGTCCACTGGGCGGTAGTCTACCCTCTCAACTGCACTAATTGCAGACAGTTTCGTTGTTGTTTGTGGGTTACGACCACTGCTGCTACATTGACGCTATGGTCGGGACTGAGCCGAGCTATAATGGCTAGTACGCACTCTTTATAGGGTTCCTCTTCATCAGCTTCATCGGTTGGAGAACGGTCTTACAGTGAAATCGTCTTGCTTACTTAGAGGGGTTTGACATCAGTAAGGTGCTTCACGTAAAAGATAACTGTATCACGGTCACTACCTCCAATTATTGTATAAACATAGATATCCTTAACTATGAGCTGATCAGTGTTTACAAATAATGATCTAATTTCGAGAGTTTTTTGACTTTATAGAACTCATGGCACCACCAATGAGTTCAATCAGTCCTGAAATTCTAATGGCTGTGTCACGCCGCCTGTGTAACCACGCTTAAGGGTTTTATCCTGTTAGCTGAGATTTAGAGACTGCGTGTTAAAGTCTCAAGCTAGTAGTTTTGTTGTCATCTGTAATATCCCATCTTTTCGGTCGTTAGAACCTGTGAAGTGCCAGTGTAGTCTTACAACCAAATATTTCGTGCAGTTCAAGCAGAAGCAAAAACAGTATGATTCTGTCATTTCGGATAATTTAGTAACATGTTTTTTAAGGGCATTGAACTGGGTCTCAGTGTATTTCGCCACTTAGCATTCCGTTTTGTGAGCTCTATCACATAGGAAAAGTGCCATTCCTTGAATGCTCGCTTCGTCATCCATGATGTCAGAGTAGACCCACGTGTCATTTAGAACTATGATTTTCAAATCCAACTGAAAGTACATGCTATTGATCATTACTAATCAACCTATTAGTCTTCGTACGTTGTTGAAGAGAATCTCGACAAGTTTGTCACATCACCTGGTGCTCCTCTACAGCAGTATATCTTCTGGTTTTCAGACTAGTCAATGTGTTTTCTGCCTGTACAACGTGTCTCATTAGCGGGAACTTGATGTCCTGTACCGTTTGTTGGTGATCGACGTCAACTGACACTAAGGTGTGGGGAAGAACCTGGGTTTTGCGCTCTGATTTGCAATCATCTGAGGGTTGCCTCGAAGAGCATGGTAGCTATATTTTAATTGTATGCTCATGTTAAGGTGACTTGATGTACCTAATATTTCACCTGAGATTGTCAGATCACTTCTTATTCTTGCTCAGAGGGAATAATTGCATGTTGTAGTCTATCTTCTCAAGATTCATCTTTTAGCAACACCACCAATTTAGTTATTCTTCTCTATTCTTGATCTGCGATAGTTGCGTCTATTTTGAAGAGACTGGGCACAACAGCATTTTAGACATCAAGGTGAGGCTGTGAGTTTGTTCTTGACAATGTCGGGGGAAGTTCCGGAGTGATTTATCCAAGTTGTCTTCGCATAAAGTGAATAATTGCATCTTTCTTGGCTATATGTTAAATACAGTTTGAGCTGGTGTCTAATCTCTCTGTGGTTGCTAGGCCCAAATCTCGCTCTGATGAAACAATCCAGAGTCAATTTCCATTGAGGACGTATAATCTTTGTGCCAAATAAGCCAGAATGTTAATGACGTGATATTTCAACAGGCCAAGTTTTAACCAATTGTCTGCCTCCTGTTCCTCTATTGTTGTGAGGTCCTTTTGAAGCTCAGGTGAACCCCAGAATCGCAGGGTATTCCATATAAATTTAATACTTTGTTCGCGATAAGCTAACCAATTTCATACTTAAATCTTCTATATCTCATTGACCAGACAAATATTATATCAAACCATTCGGTTGTATTTGATGAAGAGTAATAAAGATACTCAGAGGCATTTAAAGAAACACACCGTAATATCATACACTTCAGACACGGTGTTGAGTAGCCCACTCGCGTCACCCCCTGGAAGATAGGCACTGGTAAGCTGTCTGACAGGTTTTTCTCTAATTCAAAGACCTCATTTAGGATACGGTTTAGTCTACCACATTAAGGAAGTGGGCTTCAGATTTAGCGCCAAGTCCTAATGTATTGTTCCCACTGCTTATCGGGGCGTGGTCCCAAACAAATGGTGGCAGGCAGACATCTTACCAATCTTCGTGGGATGTTGACGCAATGTTCTTTCAATCTTCTGGGCAGAGGCTCCTGTTTAAATACACTCAAAGGTTAGGGAACCTCTGATTTACTACGGCATAAGTGACCGTGTACAAAGTTAAAATTTCTTTTATCAACGACAGTATCGTTTCAGGAATGGGTACTCATGGGTCACGAATCGTCAGACTGTGATGGAAGATGAGCAACGATCCTCAATCGTATGGGTAAAATGGATGTTATATATCGTGGCTTTTGGCAAAATCAATCCAGTGAGTCTTATAATTTGGCTTGAGTCAATAGGCATTAAGTCGGGATCGAAAGACTGATTTGAATCTTTTCTTTGTAATCGTCTTTATAACGTAAGGCTAAGCTTCACACTTTCACAGGCAATAAAATGTATCGGTGTGTTCCCAGAGGGTTCATTATTAAAACTTTACCTCCATTAATCCGTCTGAATTAATTTCCTTGCCACGTACTAGCTTTTGCTGAGGATGTTAAGCTTTGGAGAACTCCTTCAATCTCTAGATTTTCATCCATTACAATAAATCCAACTCAGGGGCGACCTTTTGACGACTTACAGTGTCTTAAGCTCTCATGGACATCTGAAATATGTCCTCACGTTCATTTGCAACATGGTCCTATGGGAAAGCACTTAGAAATGAGAAGTAAAACACATCAAACTGTGATAAATTCTCGCCTTCTATTCGTTATGATCTGTTAAGTCTTGAAATTAACCACTGGGGAAGAGATGAAGTCAGGTTTCAGAAGTGTTTAAGAAGGAAATTTACTACATTCATAAGGGATTTGTACATTATCTCATTTTAATTTCCCAACATCTGTCGTTCTCTTGTTCAATGTGACTAGTTCCTGCCTGATTAAATGCTACTAGATACGAAAGCTCGGTAAATGAAAGCCTCTCATATTCTATCCACAACCATTTGAATCATTTGGAATGCATTCAGCAGTGAAATCTAAACACAGAAAAGTTGACCAACGCATCAGAACTATCTCAATGAAAAAAGATTCGTGATCATTCTGTACCACCAAGATACACGAAAAAATTCATTTTCTCTATTATAGCTGGTGATGTGGGTGATTCTACTATATAGAAATAAGCAGCTTCAATCTTAGCAACACCGCTTAGCGTGATGTTCTCTGATATGCGACGGTCTACGTGACCACCTGATATCCATAAACCTCTTTTCACCCCAACAATACAGTTTCAGAAAAGGTCACTTTTGTATAACCAATCTGCTGACCACCGTGGACAGAAAAGCATCCTTGGTCGCAAGGGGAAATTGGGCGTCGTATACCTCGGCTTCTCCAAAGCTTTTAATAGAGTAAACTATATATATTTTATCAAAAACCTCCGACAGCTAGGCTAGTTCCAACACAAACCTAAAGGGTAACACCCAGAAACTAGAGACACAACACAACAGAACGAACTGTAGACACACCTTCTACTCCTCAAGGGTAGTCAAATGTTGAAATTCACTGCCAGTTGGGCTAGTCTAAGCTACTTCCCATGAGTCTTTCAAGAGAAAATTGAAAGGTGAGAGGTGACACTTTTCGAACGGGAAGTTTAGTACTAACGTGATTTGCATTTATCAAACTTTTGCTGTGTTCTTACGCAACAAAAGTACCATTTCAGTTCTAAAGAATCTATCCTGAGCTATACGTTCGGTAGATTACTACTTTTTTTTGAGTTTCACAATATTTAATAGTTACCTGTGGTTTTGCCTCAGTTTACTATTCGGTTTGTTTTTGTTTTTCACGTATAGACTAGTTTCAGTTTATAACACTCGTTTTATCCATTTTTGTCCGTTTTCAGTGTGCTTTTTAGTGTTTTTAAAGGTCTTAGGCTCTTGCAAGCATCTATGACATAGTTTGCTTCAACATAGTCATGAAAAACTCATGCAAACGTCCGGGATGCCGTTTTGCTGTTGCAACTGGCATGCAGTGCGACAACTGCAAAGGTTGGTTCCACGAAGCATGCACAGATCTGACATCAACTGCTTACAACAGACTCAGCAAGTCAGACCAAAAATGGGTATGTGTCACGTGCAGCACGGATGCTGTAGTTTTGCTGAGTAACATCATTGTCCTACTGACAGGTCTTCGGAACAAGTTGTCAGTTAACTTGGACAACGACAGTAAGAAAACCGGTAGACAAACAAGAGCGTGCGACGGACACAAAAACAGGGATGTCGATAGGTATACCATCGATGGAACATCCATCAACACTAATGATGACGTGTCGAGGCTCAACACCATCATTACGTCGAAGGTATTAGACTCCCTAAGCAAACTCGAGTCTC